ACTGAGTCTCCCTTGGATGATCTGAGGATGGTGGCTGGCCAACCTCATCATATCCTTTCTCTTAAGGAGTCTGAATGCAGAATGATAAAGAATGTAACACAGAAAACAGATTTTTTAGACAAAGTAATATACATTGCTTTAATTTAAAAAATCCAACAACCTGGATCTCCTAAGCTAAGGACTTATTGGAAGGATAGAGAGCATCCCAGGATTGGTTGTAGGCAAGAGAACTGGGCTTGGAAAACAGGCAGGCAGGACCCAAGGATCTCTTGAAGACTGGACAGCAGGAGATGCAGAAGAGTCATACAACAGGAATGGAGAGTCTATGAGGCATTTTCTATAGCAACTATGAAATGGCCTCTAGTTATCACTTATATTTTTGAGTGGTTTGCTCTAAGATTCAAGGTCCCTAGGCTCAGGAACCAATCCTACGCCCAATGCTCACACTCTGGCTGCCCGAGTAGGGAGTTAGAAGGGGGCCCCAGTAGCCTTTGCAGTAGAAATTGACCACTACCTCCTTCAATGATCACTTGGAATGGAAGTGATGGAAGATTACTTCAAAAGGGAGATTGAGGTTTCATTTGGAAGAGAGGATTAGAATATCAGTAATGTCAAATGTGGACTGCAGTCACTACTTTATGCTGCCCAATATGTACATTCACACCCTTCTTCCCAAACCTATATAGAGATTAAAACACAAACAAATAAACAAAAAACACTGCTGCCTATATAATACCCACTATCCTTCATATTTCAATAAATTTCTAATTTTTTCCTTTAAGGGATCCCACTACATTCTCATGATTTACTGATTTTAGCTCAGACTTGAGGATCTCTGTCCATTTATTCACCCTTGAGAACCATCACAACCAACTCCATTATAATATTTACCCACATTAAAAAAATATTTACCCACATTTACTGTATCTGATAGGGTAAATGAAAAGTAAAGACAAGAGAAATTAGTTAAAATATGTAAATATATTCATTAAACATTGAGGAAGGAAGTATGGGTGGCAAATATTGTCCTCATTTCTGAAACTATTATGAGGTGTGCATATGACTTCCATACTCCCCCACCATATTCACTTTGCATTTGACCAGAAACCCAGATGCCTCAAGGTTCGTTGAATTTTAAAATCCTGGGATCCCTGGGTGGCGCAGCGGTTTGGCGCCTGCCTTTGGCCCAGGGTGCGATCCTGGAGACCCGGGATTGAATCCCACGTCGGGCTCCCGGTGCATGGAGCCTGCTTCTCCCTCTGCCTGTGTCTCTGCCTCTCTCTCTCTCTGTGTGACTATCATAAATTAAAAAAAAATTTTTTAAATCCCAATTTAATTTCTGATGTTTCTTGGCCTCAAATGGCCAACAAGTATTCTGAACTTCTAATTCAAAAGTATTAATGCTGTTTCCTGGTTGAAGAATTCCTCATTTAGGTACAAAAACATCTAAACCAGTGAAGCCTAGTTTTGCATGCAGAGTAAAACTCAAAATGAGCTAGGCACTGTTGTTTTGAAAAATGGTATGTATTTGCAAAAGAGCAGAGCTTATTCAAAAAGCACGGGTCTTCTACCATGATTTCTTTATGAAGGCCCACCATAGGCTCTACACATTATCACAATCTGGCACAAACACTTTAAATAACATTGAATCTAGTAGGTCACAAATGTTGAATATCATAGTCTAGACCAGCTCGGAATGTTATCTTGAAACTACTCATGGAGAAACTTATCTGTTATCAGAAAATGGCTTGAGTATCAAACACAAATGTAGTTTATATTGCTTCTAAAATCCAAATTAAGTTGACCTAATTTCTTGGTATGGAGCATAGGTTAGTTTTTTGAAGAGATATTCCAAAACGTCCCAAGCTCTTAGAACACCACAGACTTCACTAAAAAAAAAATTAAAAAAAAATTGATCTTCTACCTTATTGCCAAAGCACCTAGGAAACTAAAACTGTCTGCTTTCCAAGTCCTATTAGCATGGTGTCAACAAAATACTAGACTGGGAAGGCCAAGATTTCTACTGATTATATTGCAGAACTTAATTAGGAGGTTGAAATATCCCTGAGTTAAACATCTGTCAAATAAAAACAAACTTCTGTTGTTGCCTGCTTATTGGGACAAAAAAATTTAAAAAGTATTATGATCAAAAGTTTATATCAAGTGTTCAACAAAGATCACATTTGTGATGCCAGATCCACTGGAAGTATACCAGGGTAAGATGTGCATTGTCATACTGCAAGATCCCTCTATTTTGCACTATTCAAACTAGACAATTAAATGGAAATATGATTCTACATCACTGCAGCTTTTTAATGTTTGATGATGGCCCTAATCTCTGTGATATCCTCAGGAATGTTGAAATGCTTTTTGGTTTACTATTTCAATAGAGATAGGTAGCTCCAATGAACTTCCATTGGCCCTGTTGACAAAAGTCTTTAATCTTGGGTCAAAGAGCCAATAAACTCACCTATCAATAATAAAAATACAAATGAGCCAATTAAGAGAAACCCATATAGACATTTTCTCCATTGACAGTTATGCAAATGGTCAATAAGCACATGGGAAGATATTCAGCATCAGTAGTCATGAAGGAAATGCAAAACAAAACAAAAGGAAAAAACAATACACAATGAATGTTATTCTACTTCATACCTACTAACATATCTTTATAATCAGAAAGATAGATAGTCACAAACATTGGTAAGGCTGTGGAGAAATCAGAACCCTCATAGTAGTAGGTACAGCTACTTTAGAAAGAAGTTTTACAGTTCCTTGAAAGTTAAACATACCATTTGACACAGTAATGTCACACATAGGAAGATATTTGAGTAATAAAACTAAATGTCAACACAAAACTTGTACACAAATGTTTATAGCAGTATTATTCATACTAGCCAAGAAGAAGAAACAACCTAGTGGTCATCAACTGATGATGGATAAGCAAATGTGGTGTATACACACAATGAAGTATTTTTTGGCTGTAAAGAGGGGTGAATTACTAATAGATGCTACAGCATGAATGAACTTTGAAAATAATATGCCCTTAGCTTAAAGAAGCCAGACACAAAAGACCATATGTATGATTCAATTTATATGAAATGTCAACAGGCAGAAAGCAGATTAGTGGTTTCCTAGGGCTAGGGGTAATAGGAAGATTTGGGTATGAAAGATAAAAGGTATGGGCTCTTTTGGAGAGTGAGGAAGTGTTCTAAAATTGTGGTAATGGACACACAACTCTGTGAATATGAAAAATCATTGAATTATACAGTGTGAGTGAATTATATTTCCATAAAGCTGTTCTTAGTAAGAATAAGCCAATGAGTCATCTTTTTGCTCCAGTTATGGGGGATAACTATATACTAGGTTGAAGAGTAATCACTGATAGGATTTGAAATCCCACTATGTTTTTCCCAAAGATTTTAGTTAAATTTTATCATGGCCCTATAAGCTCCACTTACACAGGTGTTATGTTCTGGATCCCTGGAAATTAATATTTATTGACAATGCCCAAAGTTCCATATAATTTAAGATTTATCCCATTCTCTAGTATATATATATATTCCTTATTAATAAACATCGATCTTGTGGAAATCTAGAAGGAAAGTGTGATGTTGAGCAGATCAGAGTACCTTGCATGGTTATCACAAAGTCCTTGCTCAGGGGTACCGTCTCCCCTTCAGTTTAAAGATTTAATGTGTAAATTAATTCAGGTCAAGTTTTGTGTAAGAAGCTGTGAATCTCCGTTAGGGTGCTTCATTCAAGGATATTTTGTTTTTCCTTTTGTTTTACATATCAGGGAGAGCCTTAGAGGGCTAGCCATCTATGTCCCAGGGATCCCATGGTCAAGTAACCATCACCAAAACTCTTTTTGCCATCTCAGCTCTGCTGCCAATTATGGAAAACTTGAAAGTTGACTACAAAACCCCTTTCTCCTTGAAATCTTGCCACTGCCTTCTCACTCCCCTGCCATAGTTGGGAATCCCATTTCATTCAGCCAACAGTGAAGAGCACTTCTCAGACTCAAGGTTTTGGAAGAAGGAGAATTGCTTGGGAATATAGTTAGATGTTCACAATGGATTCCCTCCAGCATTCCTGGTTTCCAATGCCTTGCTTTTAATTAGGTCTTGGAGAGATAATTCACACACAGTACCAGTCACTCTCTCTCTCTCTAACTCTCTCTCTTTAAAGATATTTATTTATTTGAGAGAGAGAGTGGAGAGGGGTGACAGAGGGAGAGGGAGAGTGAGTCTTAAGCTGACTCCACATTGAGCGCAGAGCCCGACATAGGGCTCAATCTCACGACTCTGAGAGCACCACCTGAGCTGAAACCAAGAGCCAGCAGCTTAACTGACTGTGCCTCCCAGGTGCCCCAACAGTCACCCATTATAAATGTATAGGTTTATGATTTCTTAGAGCTACCATAACAAAGTACCACAGACTAGGTGAGCTAAAATAACAAAAATTTATTATCTCCCAGTTTGGAGTCTAGAAGTCCAAAGCCAGGATGTTAGTGTGCTCTCTCCAAAGTCTCTACAGCTAGTTCCTACCTTGCTTCTCCCAACTTCTGGTAGCCCCAGGTGTCCTTGGCATGTGATAGCATAATGTCAATATCTGCTTCTATCTTCACACGATAGTCCTCCCTGTGTGTCTGGGTCCAGTTTTCCTTTTATTATAAGGGCACCAGCTATTGGATTAGGGCCCATTTACTCTAGTATGACCTCATTTGAACTTGACTAATGACATCTACAATCACCCTATTTCTGAATAAGGTCATAATCAAAGAATGAAATTGCTGGGTCATAGACTAAATGTGTGATTAACTTTATAGGAAAGCGCCAGATGTATGTGTATAGATGCATACATATGCTATATATACACATTATATATATAATCATTATATATATATTATAATCATTATATATAATCAATGCATTATATATATATAACCAACACATATATATTATAATCATTATATATGTATATATAATCAACGCAGAGCATCACCATGTCAGAGAAGAAGCAGCAGGTAGATTTGGGTCTCCTGGAGGAAGACGACGAGTTCGAGGAGTTCCCTGCCGAAGACTGGGCTGGTTTAGATGAAGATGAAGATGCACATGTCTGGGAGGATAATTGGGATGATGACAATGTAGAGGATGACTTCTCTAATCAGTTACGAGCTGAACTAGAGAAACATGGTTATAAGATGGAGACCTCATAGCATCCAGAAGTGTTGAAGCAATCTAAACTTGAACTGTTTATTAAATTCTAGGACAGAGAACCCAGAATGGAACACTTAAAAAATGTTTATTTCATTACCTGTTTGGATTTATTTTTGTTTTTGTAACAAAAAAAAATAAATGTTTTGATCTAAAAAATATATATATATATATATAATATATACTATATATTATATAGTCTAGAATGGACTTGATTAAACATTTATATTTCAAAGGCATTTTTCTTGATATAGAATTATCAGTTGATAATCTTTCCATACTCAAAGAATGATACTCTATAATCTCCTGGCTAACATAGTTTCTGATGAGAAATCTGCTATAAATATTTCCTTTGTTTCTTTCTATCTGATGACATATTTTTCTGGTTGCTTTAAATATTTTCTCTTTATCATCGTTTTCAACAATTTGATAATAATATGCCTTGATGTGGTTTTCTTAAGTTTCTTTTGTTCGGAGTTTATAAAACTCGTTATGCTGGGGTTGATATTGTCAGCAATATCAAATATTGTCAGCAAATTATATACATTTTATCTGTTATCTGCTATTTGTTTTATCTGTTATATGTTATCTGTTATTTTTTTTCAAGGGTTTTGCTGTCTCAACTTCTCTGTCTCTCCCTCTCATCTAAGTACACACTTGTTAGACTGACTGAGAGTTCATGGAGTCTGTTCATTTTTCTACTCTGCTGCTTTATTTTGGTTATTATTGTGTCCTCAAGTTCACTGATCATTTCTTTCTTTTTTTTTTTTGATCATTTCTTTACAGTCTCTAATAGGCAATTAATTATTTTTAGTGTATTTTTCATTTATTGTAGTTTTAATCTCTAGACATTTCATTTGGGTCTTCTGAAAATCTTGTTTTTCTTAACATATTTATGTTTTCCTTATATCTTCGAGCATATTTATAATATTTATAAAAGGTATTAAAACCCTATCTGCTAATTACAACACTATCTTGTTTCTTTGTATTGCTTTTTTCCTCCCAATTATAGTTTACATTCTCCTGCATTCTTTCCTTCCTGATAATTTCTTTATGTTAGACATTGTGAAATTTGTGGGGTTTTTTTGTGGTGAGTTTTGTTGTATTCCTTTAAACTGTGTTGTTTCTGGCATACAGCAGTTACCTGTAAGTCATTTTAATTTTTCAATAATTTCTTGTATGTTTGCTACGATGGTCCAGATTAGTCTTTATTCTAGGTATAAGTTAGCTCAAGTATTAAGATGGGAGCTTTCTGAGAACTCCACCCCATGTAGTAGAAAGTCTTTCCAGTCTGGCTGTAGGGGGAAAAAAACCTGTGTGAACTTGGGGAATTAGTCAACCTACCCCTTTTGGGGGCTTCTTTCTCCAGCCTTATGGAATTTCATCCCATGTGTCCTCAGACAAACTTTAACTCAAAGATTCAAAAATATCCCTTAAAGATCTTTATAGCTTTTCCTGTGTACTAGCATCCCTTTCTCCAATAGTTCCTGAATTCTAAACTGTCTCAACTCAGAAAGACCACTGGGCTCTGCTTGAGTTCCTTTTCCTACATTGCATCATGGAAACTTGACTGTAAGTGACAATAATTGGCATTCCATCCTTCCATTTATTTACTTAATAAATATTCATTGAATGCTCACTCTGTGCCAGGCACTGCTTGATGCACTAAATATTTCCAGTGAACAAAGCAGAAAATTTCCCAGTATTTGTAGCTTTTACATTTTAATGTTTTATAAGAAAAAGGAATTTACTGGAAAGACATCTCTAAGAAGTACAGGAAAAAAAAGAGCTATATAGGAAATGCAGAGTCAGGAAAATAAACAAGAGCCAAAGTCATGCACAAAAACAATATGTACTGCATATGCTACTACTGCTGAGATGAATACGCCCTCTAACCACTTTCAAATTCCTCCATCATTTGCTCAAGATTTGAAATTTTAGAAGATATTATCACATTGGCAAAATTTAAATCAGTGCTTACTCCCCAGGTCCTCGAAGTCAGGGAAAGAGAAGAGTAGGACCCCCTAATTTCCACAATAGAAATGAGGCATGATCTCCACCAAGAAGGCACATAATCAAGAATTCCTTAGAAGAGAGATTTAAGATAATTAGGAAGGTGGATAGGGGTGGGATACTGGACAGTCAGAACCTGACAAAAATTCACTAAAGTTGCATAGAAAAGTCAAGACCCAGAGAGATGGCAATACTAAGAAACTAAAAGTAGAAGCTGAATTCAAGAGTTAGAAGTCAGTTATTTATCGGCAGAGAAGAAATAAGCAGCAGAGAGAGAAGAGCTGAGTTCTGAGCAACTAAAATGGCCATTAGGTCACCTGCACCATTGCAGGCTCTCTAGAGGTAGCTGTGTTCTGGGAAGCGATGACTCATGTTCCAATTGCCCACGAGGACTGGGTTTATGCCAGGTATGATATTTTTCTCTCCCTTTTTATTGCCATATCCATTTAAAATGAACTCATCAGTAGACAAAGACACCAGAATGTGTTCTTTTTTTAGCATCTGAAGGAACAGACCAAACCCTGCTCTGGTAAGTTAATGAGGAAGTTAGGCAAAGATGAGGGCAAATGCTGGAAGTTTTCCAAACTATGTGGAGTCCTTGGTCCCAGTGGTCAAAGGAATTTCATCCGTAATCTCACGTGGAATGTCCACATCTTCCCTTCCTACACTAGGATCGCTACCCCGGGACTTCATTTTAAGAGATGTGATGGAAGATAGTAATGGCTTGAGGATTGTTTCCACCAGTGATTCCCCAGCAGGCATGATTCGTCCAAAATAAGTCACTGGGCATGAAAGTGTCTACCCTAATATTTAGAGAAATTAAATGCCCCACTTTGATTTTTCAAAATGCAGACAACTTTTGCTGTCTCAGAGGGCTAGATGCACTGGAAGTTTTCTCCAAAAACAAACTTCCCCTTAAGCACCATCGGCTGTGAATCAGGAGTTGTAAAGTAGAGAGAACAATTAAAATCAATGACAGCATTTAGTTTCCTGCCAAGAGTAGCTTGCCCAGTTAACAAACTGCACTGAGCTGTCTTCAGTGCACCGAGAACACCCTGGGCTAGCTGGTGCTCAGCTGGGGACATGCTAATTGCTTTTATTAATGAGGAGAGCTCTCTTTTCTCCACTGATGTCTCTTGAACTTCCATCTCATGCTTGGTTGGTGAAGCATCACTACTACAAGTGTGAACCACAGTTACAATATTTTTCTCCTAATTGAGATCAGCGGAGCATAATTTGAAGGAGGAAGTAGGGGGAAAAGTTATATTTGAATTCCTAATGATTCTTTTCAATCATGAGCATTTTAGAGTATAAAATGAAGTGATTATCAAATGAATTTTAAAAACTACATGTCCCTTCAAGTTCTACACATTAGTACAAGGGGGTTAGATGCTAGCTTCAAAGTAAGGAGCACTGGATTTGGAGTCCAGAGACCAAGGTGCCTGTATCAGTTTCTCAGAGACATTTACAGTTCACTTGATATTACTGAACATTAACCTCTTACTTTCTTTGTGAAAAGGGGATAATCCAGGATCAGGCTCTCTTATAGCCCTCAAAATAAAAAACAAAACAAAACAAAACCACAACAACAAAAATAAGCCCCAAAACTAGAATCTGAAATAGTGGGTGCTTACCTACATTTACTATGCTTATCCTACCAGAAGAGGTTCAATTACCAATAATTGAGTACATATTCTCCTACCATATGCCCACATCATGCTGGCCAAAAGTAGTTAGTTCATGTCCTTTTTCTTACCTTTGTCAACTGCTCATTATACAGAAAGAACAGCAGCTTGGTTAATAGAGCCATGGACAATTAGAAGAAGATGCTCACTTCTCCTGTTTCCAAGGACCAGCACAATCCCAGATTGAACAGATTTTTTTTTGTCTTGAGGGGGGATTATTGTTCTCCTGATAACATTTTCCCTTCAAAAGAAAATTGCTTCTCCCACCACTTGGATAATAATAGGAGAGAGGAAAGCATTGTGTCTGGGAAAACTTTGCAGCTACAGGAGGGAGTGAACAAGGAGGAAGTAGAATAATAGAATGAAGAGGAAAAATAGGTAAAGAAGGATTGAAGAGAGAGAAGGCTGGGGGGATGGAGAATAGGTGAGAAGCAACAAAGAAAATGACATTTCAGGAGAGAAACGCCAATTTAGCTAGAGAGATCAATGGACATTTGAAATCAACTTTAGAAACCACATTACAAAGATAATTTTTGGAATAAAGGTCAACCAATACACAGAGCTGTGCTAAATTTGTGTGTTGAGAGATGGTCTAGCTGAAACTCCTATTTATACAGCTTTAACGTGTAGACCTAGTGATTTAATGCCCCTGTAATTATGTATATAATTGACACTCTTAGAATATTTTATTTATTCTCCCAGGGTCATGTTTATTACAGACTGTCTCATTTTAGAGTAATTTATGTCCTTGTCTGTCTCCTTTACCACTGGGTAGAGTCTCCCAGGCCAGAGCCAGGTCTTATTCATTTCTGTATTATTCTTAGCACCTAGCACAGTATCTATCATGCAATAAAGTTTTAGTAAAAATCGAAATTGAAATGAATTATTTTAAGACTCTATTATGTCATGTGTGTGCATGCGTGTGTGTGTATGTACACTAAATTGTTCTGGAAAATTGCATTTTAGTTTTAACTTTCCAAGTTAAAAATATAACAATAGTGCACTAAAATACCAGGAGGAAAATTCTGATAATCTGTTGACTAAACAATGGCTGGGGAATAATTATCTATTCTTGATGGGGTCAATCTGTCCTCAGACTTAGGAAGTAAGCAGCAGAAGTGCAAATTATGGAATTGATATAGAGGTAAATATCCTCCTGGCAGATAGAGCAGATCTGAGAGAAGCATTGTGTATAGAAAATAAATACCATACAAGCCACAATTGTTGCTCCTTACCAATGATAAAACCTACTTGAGAAGAAGAAAAAGACAACTGAAATAATTCAGCAACTATATGGTGGAAATAAGTCATACATAGCTTTACATAATGGGAATATTTTGGCAATAAGTGATAGAAGGCATTACAATTGTTCTCCACAACAAGACTAGTTCAGCACCATCCTCAATTTTTGTTTAGTTGTTTAGACCAGAAGGCTTCTAGTCTAAGTCTTCTTGA